GTGGGAGCCATACTGGGAGTACGGAGTCGCGTCTTTCAGGTTGGTCCATATCTATATCTATATCTATATCTATATCTATATCTATATCTATATCTATATCTATATCTATATCTATATCTATATCTATATCTATATCTATATCTATATCTATATCTATATCTATATCTATATCTATATCTATATCCATATCTATATCTAAATCTATATCATCTCTCTTTCGAACAGGAAATGCTTTATGGCATTCAGACTGGCTTTGGATCCCCGCAGATACCAGTTGCCGAGATCTTTGCCCGACCTGCCCCGTCGCTCGTCTCGCCGCAGAATCAAAAGCCGAAGAGCAACAACTATTTGACTGTGCCCGACTCGGACTCGATACGACCAAAGAGTGTGCCCTCATCGCCGATGGTGAAGCGGGCCTTCTCTCGCCTTGGCACGATCACCGCTGGCTGGGGCCGATCCATACGGAACAAGAACACGAACCAACTGAATCCGGACGACAAAAAGAAGTGGATCTCATCAACAGATTGTTCGAGTAAGAGTTTTCATATAATGCAATGCAACAATATCGATGCGTGTTTTTTTTCTCTCTCTCTCTCTTTGTCTCTCTCTCTCTCTCTCTCTCTATGTCTTTCTCTTACACACTCTCTTTTGTAAACATACCTGACTTTCCGTATATAATACCCACACACACACACACACCCACGCATCTTTATACTAACTACTAACTAACGTCTTGGCTGCGCTCCTACGTAACACTACGTAACCTCGTAACTGCCTGTTTTTCCCGTAATATATACTTGCAACTACAAAACTTGAAACTTGGCTACCAACAACTCTTCTACTACAAATAAAACTACGCAAATAACGCACGTCGCACGCCTTAACTAACCTCTCAAACTTACGTACTCTATACCTGATATATACATATGTATGTATATATATATGTATATCGTATATCTAATATATATATTTGATTGATACGGAAATATTATATGATGTGTGATCTGTTCATATGTAAATTGTGTCTACCCATTATACTCTGGGTACTCTGCTGTCGTTATCGTTATCGTTATGATTATCGTTTCTCCCTTTGCCCATGTTGTGTTGTCCTTCTATTCCTGAACAACAACAAAAAACTTTACTCTTTTCATTTAATTTCCTCCGTTATTTTCATTTTCGATTTGCTTCAATGCTTACTGATAATTGGCATTCCTTGCCTCCAATACCCTGGACGCCACCTGCTGCCTTATGCATACTCACCTCTCTCGATTACTCCATCAAATATAATTGGCCCTCCAATTGGACTTATGTATCATAATCATATTGTATCCTACGTCAATGTTTCCTTCTCAATATTTCCCAACACTATCCACTGTCTGATTCTTTACTATATCTTAAAACTGATTCGAAATATCTTGCACCAAATTCAATTTCCCTTGCACCTGTTTTTTCGCAACTCTTATAACAACTCTTATACAACACTTATACAATACTCATATTCATTCATCACTTATACAATACACATACAACTCTTATACTAATTTTTACAATTCTCATAAACAATACCGATATACATATGGCATACTATACTTATGCAACTCTTATACAACACTTATACACAACATTAATATACCTGTATATAACATTTTAAATTTATTTTTTCAACTCTTAACCTGTATAATACTTATACACAACATGTATATATCTGTAAATAACACTTATAATTTACTTATACAACATTTGTATATAACCCACAAAATACACGAAATATATTTACCCGTATATAACACCTGTACTTCTACAATACTTGTATATAACCTAAACACAACAATTATATGCCTGTAAATAACATTTATAATTTATTGATACAACTCTTATAACACATTTGTATATAATCTATATACACATAATGTATATACCTACACAACACTTATACAAAACATTTCTGATTTACTTCCACAACTCTTATACTAAATTTGTATATTGTTTATATCACTCTTATACAATCATTAAACAACACTACACTTACACATTATACACTCTCTACACAACACACTTGCCATTATACAACTCACTATACTTACCTGTACTCACCACACTCAAAACATCCTAATTCGAAATATTTTTCCAAATTTAATATTTAATATAATTCTTGCCTGAAATTCGGATTAACTAAAACTAAAAATTTACATAATTCAACACACTGCAATTGTTGCTCTCTCTCTCTCTCTTTCTTTCTTTCTCTCTCTCTTTCTTTACAATCTTGTTCCATCTTAAAAAATTGATTATTCTAAAAAAAAAAAAACATAAACAAACTCATCGAATTAATGAAACAAAAATCGAAATTCTTGTCATTTTTCCATCCAACGCGCCTGCCCAACCACCAATCTCCCTTTCCACGCTCTCTCGCTCTCTCCCACCTGATTTCTTAAAAATCGTGCGAATTATCCAACTGCCCGCAATTAATTTAATTTCGCATTTAAATTTTATTTACATTTAATTTTCATTTCGATTTTCATTTTGTTTAAATTATCTCGCGACCGAAAACAAAACCTTAAAAAATACCACAACCATCATAAAAAAAAAAAACGACAAACCAAAATACCGAAATACCAAAAAAAAAAAAACAAACCAACCCGTACAAAAAAAAACAACTTGAAAACCTGGCAGACAGAGATAGCAAAGACAAGGACAAGGACAAACCGGGCAGCAATCAATTGGCCGTGCCACGCCTCTCCGTTTGCGCCGACGCCCAAAAGGTGGACCGCGCCAAACTGGCCCAAACGGAATTCAACATCATCGAATTCGATCCAGATACGTTTCGAGTGCTGCTCGACTATCTGCATACGGGCACCTGTCCACTGACCTGTGTCTCCATACCAGGTAAGCGTAACTGAATTGTGAAGCATTCGGAATTCCTGCCTGGGCTAGATTATGGAATGTGTGGAAATGTTTTTTGAATTGTTTAATTAGGAAACAAGTGGCTCTGAAACGCAACTTGACACAGATCTTTAACAAGTTTGAAAGCTTTTTAGACTTAAGAGTAACTTAAAGCCCAAAATTGAATCTATGTTAGAGAGTGATAGGAACGATGGGAATGGAACACTGTGGATAGAAACAAGTAAATAAAAAAACATTTCTATGCTAAGGCAAACTGCATCAAAATATGACTGGAAGCTATATGAAACTGTAATAGGAACGATGGGCATGAAACAAAATTTACTCAGATTGTAACGCTGTCTGAAACAGAAATATATATTTTTCAACATTTGTACTCAGTTTATTTGTTAACATGTTTCATTTAAATTGGAACGATGGGAAACGAACATTGTAGAGGAAAATAAAAGGATTCTGAAAAAAGAAGAAAATACGCGTGTTGAGTTCAAATTTTATTTCAAGCTATCCTAGATTTTAATGTGAACGTTGGGAATGGAACGTAGGTAAAGAACAGAAAATCTTTTTTATATTCCAATGGAAACAATGTGAGAGGAACATGTAAGAATATTGTTAGATTGTAAGTGGAACGATGAGAAAGGAACTAGAAGAGACATATAGGATAAATGCCCACGCTAAATTTCAACTCAACTTTCATCTTTGAAAAACACTGAGACTTTGGATTGTTAGTGGAAACGATGGGAAATGAGCAAAGTAAACAATTGAATGATATTTGAATTCCTCGTTTTCCTTTTGCTTCCCTTCCAGGTTTACTGTGTGCCGCGGAGCACTACGATCTGCCGGAGCTGCTGCAGGCATGCTTCCATCATTGCAAGCAGTTCCTGCGCATCGAGGTCGTCTGTCCGATGCTGATATCGCTGGAGAACTACTACTGGCGCTACACATCCGCCTCAGAGCTGGTCAACATGATATTGTCGTTCGTGGAGAGCAAGGCGCACTCTCTGTTCAAATGCCCGGAGTTCCTCAATCTGTCCGAGTCGATGGTGCAGATGATAATGTGCCGTGAGCTGCAGACGCCGGAGATACGCAAATTCGAGGCGATGCTGGCCTGGGCCCAGCACAAGGTGGCCAAACTGAAGAATCATCCCAACAAGGATACGCAATTCGAGTTCGAGTGCATCATGGAGAGATTGACGCGCGACCTGAATCTGTGCCGCATCTCGCCCAGCGAACTGCTCACCGTGGTGCTGCCATCGAAGTCGATGAAAAACGAACGGATCATGGAGACGCTCATGGTGCAGGTGAATCTCGGCACCTATCGGATGCCCGAGCTGGATGCGTACCGCCAGCAGTTGCGTCAGCAGGAGTCCGCCGAGGCCAACGTGCAAGTCCATCGGGGTGGATGAGACAGTAAGAATGTGAGTTTCGATTTGGATCAACAGCCGCTGGCGCTAGCCCTATCCACTGCCGCAACCACCGCGGATACCGACCACAAAACCACCGGACTGTTAACGCCAATTGCTGCTAGTAGTGGCGGCGGCGGTGGCGGAGGCATCATAACCAGCTCCATTGCTAGCGGCATCACCTTACAGTTGGATGCGCGCGCCTATGCGATGGCCTCCGTTGCCGTTGCCCTTGAACATCAGCAGCAACTGCAGCAACAGAAACAACAGCAACAGCAGCAACAACAGCAGCAGCAGCTACAACAGCAACTACAACAGCAGCTGCAGCAGACGCCTCGGGATGCCACCGACGATGAGGTGGAGCTGTATGCCAGCTTCGATATGGCGCCCAGCACCAGTCGCGTCGCCGCCCAAATGCAGGCGGCCAAGGAGGCCAGGCGGAAGCGCTGGGCCGCCGACGGAGCCAGCGGCAGCAGCGACGGTGGCTGCGCCAGTGGCAGCAGCGGCAGCGGTCGGCGTTACTAAACAAAAACAAACAACATTCAACAGCAACAACCACAAAAATTAGCTAACAACAAAAAATAAAAACTAAAAAAAAAAACTTTAAAAAAGAAGGAAAATGAAAAAAAAAATGAGCACAGTCGAACTTTGGCAAGCCGAAGTTGCAATACTCTTGCAGCTGATGAGGAAACTAATCAAAAATATAATCAATCAACCAATATACGTCTATATATTTAGTGTAAGCCCTGGCGTTCCGCTTCCACATGTTCCTTCTAATGAATAAGCCGCAGTTGAGAGATTTCTATGTGAAGAAAAGGCTTCAATGGACTCGAATCCGTAATTTATGTATATGCCTAATGTGTTCCGTTTCCACATGTTTCACTTAGCAAATGTGCTACTAAAATAATATTCAAACTATAGCCAAAGCCTCAAAGACCTATCAAACCCATCCACCTGAATTACTGTTCCACTCCCACATGTTCCGCTTAGCAATTATGGAAGTACACAAGTGTTCAAAAACCTCAAAGAACTCTCAAATCTGTTGCCATTGCCCATCCACCTGATATACTGTTCCGATCCCACATGTTCCACTTAGCAAATTGTTGAACCTGACAAAGTGTTGCAGCTCCGCATGCTCCACCTTATAAATGTGCTGCTGTTACATATTTAAAGTCTTAAGGACCGTTAAAATCGTAAAATGTTCCGTTCCCAATTTCACCCAACTTCACCCTTCACAATAACTGATGTGGCGGTTCATTTCCACATGGTCCACCCAATAAATAAAATTAAAATTTCATGTACATAAAGTAAACGATCCAAAGAGTTTTCTGTTCTGCTCGTAACACACCTGATGTTCCGATTCTATATGTTCCTATCCCATAAATAAGTTTGAGCGCTACGTTTACACCCACGTATCATATTGAGACATTTGCCACCAGAAACAGCTTCTATTTTAAAAGTTGACTGGCTTTGTTGTGCCGTTTCCATGCATTCCCCTTTGATGAATGAAGCAGAGCATGTCTTCAGAAAATCATGGATCAAACAAAAAACATTGCAGTATTCCATTTCTATCGTTCCAACCTAGTTCGTATATATTGAGAGATACAGAGCTAAAAAATACTGCAAGGATATTATGAATGAGTGTGCATGTGTGTGTGTATGGCTGCGTGTATGTGTGTGCCTCTAACCCACCGCTCTAAAGCGCCCTGAGAAGCCGAACAAAGAGAACCATCCAAATCGAAGCTGACATTGTTAACTCTTACATTCACCCCGCATGACAAAATGCCAAAACGAGAAATGAATCAAGCAGAATTTTCTACCAAGTATTACCTACGATTAATTGTATATCTATGTATATATAGGCATATATATATATATGCATACATATATATATGTTTGTATATGTAACCTATTGTAACTATGTATAGTACGAGAATATGCCAGAGCTAGGAGCACAGAGAGAAAGAAAGAGAGAGAGAGAGAGAGATGAGTGCTTTGACATTTACATGAAATGTAGACAAAGCAAACGTTTTTGATACCCTCACAAAAAAAAAAAACCGAAGAAAAAACTGGCATATCCGTAGCAAAAAAAAACCCAAAAATAAAAATAATTAACAAACAACAAAAAAACGCTTACTGATGTAAAACAAAGACTTAAGAAAATGAAAAAAAAATAAATAAAATAAAACAAAACAATTTTTTTTAATCAATGTTATTGAAAATGTAAGCTCTACCAAGTTTTTGGCAAACCAAACCTAACCTAACAAATAAATGGAGAAAATAATACTTAAAATAAATATATATACATACATATATATGTGTATATATGTACATATAGACATACCTTTATGTCACTCCAATATGTA